GACAAATTTTCTTTTGCAAAATTTACTAGCCCACCCCCTTCAACATGCACATTAATTTTTGCCCGCTCTTTCGCATAACTTTCGCGGAATTTTCGCGAAAATATCCTTATTCATAGACCCCGGCCATCAGCAGGGGGTGTACTGAAGGAAAAGCGAAGACCAGGGGCCTTGGTGTTTGGTTCTCGCAAAGCCTCACTTTTGGAAAGTTAGCTACTGCTACTCGCATTCTCTGGTACCCTTCTCCTGCCGGACCCCGGGCGGCAGTGGGTAGCAGCCCTTTACATATAATGATTATAAGACCCAACTTTCGCGAAACTTTCGCGAAATAAAATTTTACTTTCTCGAACTCGAAAAAAAACTTTCGCGAGGGTTTCCAACATAACACGCACGGCTTTCGCAATTAAAACTCCTTACAAGGACCTTTAGATCGATCACCATATATAAATAAAATAATATTTATAATCCTAATTATTAATATTTATAATATTTTACATATTAAAAAAAAAACATAATAATAATAACAATTATTTTATTTCGAATTATCCCCAGGCATTTATATGTTTTGTTATTGATAAATCTTCTGGTATTTTATCTGACATCTCTTCTGACATTTTATCTGGCATATCTTCTGGCATTCTATTTGACATATCTTCTGGCATATCTTCTGGCATTCTACCTGGCATACTGTATCTTCTGTAATATATTCTGGCATATCTTCTGGCACTTTATCTGGCATATCTTCTGGCATATCTTCTGACATTCTATCTGGCATTCTATCTGGCATATCTTCTGGCATTTTATCTCGCATATCTTCTGGAATTCTATCGGACATTCTATTTGGCAATCTATCTGACATATCTTCTGGCATTCTATTTGGCATATCTTCTGGCATTCTACCTGGCATACCTTCTGGCATATGTTTCCTCCCATGGATCTGTGCCTAATTCTTGGGAAATTTAAAATGCTGGGAAATGATGTGGACACGTGTGGAACTGTTCCCAAAATGTTAGTGGGTCTGAGTTAGTGCAGACAATCCCCATGAATTGGGTGAACATCTGCTGACGATATAACACCACTTTAAAGCGAAGCTTTCGCCATGCGGCTTTGAGCTTTCGCGGGCATAACTTAGGCAGCAATGCCTTGATCTGAATGTCATGACTATATAGAATTTGAATTGAATGATCTTCAAATCAATCAAATCGATGCCTTTGATTAATTCATCTTAGGATTTTTAGATTGGTAAATTTGTTATCAAAGGAATATTGCCGATTCCGGCATTTGATGCCTGCATTCCAAATCACTCAAATACAACTTTCCTCCTCCTCATCCTTATCATCATCCTCGTGCAAACAAGCTATTTGCCTCACACACGAACCCAAATCTCCGATTTCAAGAGAATGACTCAACTGAGATGCAGTCAAAGTTTAGGTACCCATTCGCGATTTGCCCATGTTTGGTATTGAACCTTAGTGAACCATAGTGAATCATATATATTTTCATAGATCATTATCCATTGAACCATGGCTGCCATGGCACCTCCAAAGTCCAGGTCATTGCATTGGAAATCTCCTCCTGCAACGGGAAAATTCCTTCACGACCGCAGGTCTGCTGTGGAAAATTCTATGGAAAATTCGATGGTCTGGTGTGGTTAATATTGGTTAATACTGGTTAATATTAATGGTTATTAAATTATATGGTTAATGATGGTTAATAATAATCTGGTTGGTGATTGAGCCTACCCCTCTGAAAAATATGACTT